GTCCTCATCTTGTCAGCAGAACTGTCACCCTCTAAGGAAAAAGAATGTAGATGCTTTGTTCAATGCAATAACTCTGTCCCAGAACAACATCACAAAATAGGGAAGGCACAGGGGCCTCATGTTTCACGCCCAAACACGAAGCATGTCACTAAGGGGCTGAGCACAGCAGACAAGACAGTGCTCGCTGCAAGATGTGCTCATCTGGTTTTAAATTGTGGTGACGAGTTAAAAGACACAAACAGCTAACTTGTACTCAAATAGGTTCTAGTCAGTTAACACTGAAATATGCATTCTTCTTCTCAATTATTTCCTTTTAAGTATAGGTGTGTGTGTATGTGTTGCTGTGGAGTGTATAGGTAGAGTCTTCTTTTGATCACTTGAAAACATACAGCAATCAAAACATCTTTAGCCTGGCACCATGTTTGAACGTCTTGTCTTCTTTCAGGTCTAAAGTTGACGAGGCTTTGTGGACACTAAGAAAATGCTTGGGAGGAGGCTGTTCATACCCGGTTCACTCAGGTGTGTTAAGCAGCTCGGGAAATCACACAATAACATGCTACATGCTTCCCCTTCATGAGATGAGCAAGTGAGGGAAAAGCAAGTTCTTAACAGATGATTAAATTGCTTTCCAACAATTTTGCTTAAAAGAGGATGTATACAGTGTGTGGTGTAGCAATTTCTAGAAAAATTTAAGTTTCCAACTAACTTACAAAGTTAATTATCAGTTACATGTAAAATAAATCTATTTTTAAAAACCCACTGGTATAAAAAAAAAACAACCCAAGTTAGAAAGTTCACATTTATGAACTCTTTTAGCAACAGACTGGCAAATGTCACCAAATTTTAATGGCATCCACTTGCAATTCACTTTCACCTTTGCAATTGCAGTCAGAAAAGAAGAAAGAGGGAGGAGGGAAGAGATATAGGTTATGCTAAAAACTCTCCAATCTGTAGACTCAGGAAGCAAACTTGGGTTTACTTTCCTTAAGAAGGATAGATAATCAAAGCATGTCCATCAAATACTTGTCATAAAAAGACTGTATGCACTCTACTGAGCATTTACTTCTATTTTCCAGAAATTACTCCAATTCTGTCTTATGGTCTTTTCCTCATACTGAGTGGAAATACAAGTCAACATTACCCCAAATGACACAGGGCACTGTCAGTGGAAACTATGATCAGCAACAGAAACAACACGCATCAGTCTCTGTTTAATTCCAAAGCAAATCAGCTTTGATGATGAGAGTACCATCTTCCGCTTCTGTCTGTACCACATCTGGAAGGGACATGGGAACGTGTCTGCACTTCTCTTCTGCCCTGTGACTGGTGAGAATCCAAGGGACTGGGAAATCAAACCCAAACTTGGACTAAGATGAGTAAGTGTCCACTGGACCCCAAGTCCTGGCAACTCTGGAAAGGCAGCTGTGACCTATGATCCCCACTTCACAAATCCCTGACTTCCTGGATTGCACCAACGGGTCACAGGGTCACACTGCATCCACCTGAACTCCAGCCTCCTGCTTTGATCAAAGGGTGACTCATCACCTTTAATCTCCAGCTATCTCCTGGGGAGGAAAGCTGGGGCAGCTCAGCTTCTCACATTCTTTCCTGCCTTCAGTTCACTCCACACGAATCAGTACGCATTAACTGTACCAGAAAGGAACAGACCCACTGCGTGCTGCAGACCCCTCTCCCAGAGCTAAAGTTCCCCATTAGGAAGGGGGCATACCTCTCTGCTTCTCATCCTTCCCTGCCCTGCCGCCTTGCTTGCCTGGAAGTTGCTCACCTGGTTAGTAGACAATAAATGACAATCATTTTCCTAAGATATCTGAGGGCCTGAGATTGTATACCATGCTTTAAATGATACCAATAAAAGTGTTTAATACACTAAATATAATTTAAAATATATGTGTGGAAAAAGGAAATTTAAAATGGAAGAGCGGTAGGGATTGGTTATTTCTGATAGATAATGTCTGACCCTAACAATGTCAATGAGTAGTTTCAGTCTCAACTCCAAGAAGCTAATGGCTCTGTCTTCCTTTATAAGAGCATCTTTTTAGGGTTTGGGGCAGCAGTATCTACACATTGGAGACACTCAGATAGGTTCAGTGGGTTAACATTGACTCAACATAATTCTCTTTCTCAATTACTTCCTCTGAAGTACAAGTGTGTGTGTGTGTGTGTGTGTGTTGCTGTAGAGTGCATGGCAAGGAGTCTTCTTTTTTTTTTTTTTTTAGGAGTCTTCTTTTGATCACTTGAAAATATAAGAAAATCAAAAAGTTTTTAGCCTGGCACCACGTTTGAACTTCTTCTCTTCTCTCAGGTCCAAATATCTGGGGTATTCATAGCCTAACAGGGATAAAGGAAACTATAAATTTCTGACGTAGACAATGTTAGTTCCTACTGCCACTGTAACAAACGACCACAAACTTAGTGGCTCAGACTCTGCATTTGTCTACTTGGCATCCATTAATTACAGGGCCAGCACACATTTATTATCTGACAGTTCTGGAGGTCAGAAGTCCGAAGTGAGTCTCACTAGACTAAAACCAAGATGGCAGCTGAGCTGCGCTCCCTCAGGAGACTCATTCCTTGCCTTTTCTGATAATGATGACCCCGAGGAAAGGTTAAATTATGTTCTACATAGTCGAGTTAAGATTTCAGAGAGTAAAGTACTTACGGACAACTTTCACCAAAAACTGTTAAAATTAGAATGTGAACACTTAAAGGATATTTCAATTATCTAAGAAGTTAAATCACACTGAACTGTTCTCCTCAGCAGCTGGGGGAGAGCTCTGCCCTGAGCTCTACCGCTAACTCACTGTGTGACGTTGCAGAAGTCACTTTGCCATCTCTAAGTCTCCATTTCCTCTAATGAGAAAAAAGTATCAAACTACACAGTATCTAAGATTCCTTCCAGCTCTGACATCTTATAAGTAACTGTCACTATTAAGCCTAGAATGTGAATTGCAATTGCTTATCTCAGTCATTCTCACAGACTGTATGTTTGTTTTTGCCTTATAACCAGAAATGTAATATTTTTACACAGCAAGGAAAGTGAAAGAGAAAAGAAAACCCAACGGTCAAAACTACCCAAATTTCTCCTTAAGGAATTTATCTCATGAAGAAATACCTAACTTCTCCCCAATCAGGATGTTTAGAAATCCCAGTCATGAAGGCTCAACAAAAATATTTATAGGCATATGACAAGAAAACACATGCTGATGATTATTTTTGAAAAGAAGAAGAAGAAAGAAGGAGGGAAAGGGAGGAGGAGGAGGAGGACGAAGAGAAGTTTCCTCATCCTCAGCACATATACGGTAGTCTGTGGAGCCTCTGAACAGAAAATACTCCACAATTTTTATATTAATACCTCTGCTCCTGCAGGACAAAAGCATGTTTTCAAAGTAAATATGAATGGATAAAAGGCACAATGCTTCTGGAAAATAAATATGTAAAGTAGCATGGAAAGAACACATTATTGTTCAAGAGTCAGGAAGCTTTGGAGCCCAGCCCAGGAAACACTCTGTAACCTAAGGTGTGCCCTTCCAAGTCTTGGTCTGTTTGTAAAGGACTCAGAGATAATTCCAGACATGTGTGATTTAGTGTCAATCCAACTTTCCTTAGAGAAAACATGTTTAAACTTAGAATAGTTAAGATTTGGAAAGGATAGGTGAAAGATTATTTCAATATACTTTTCACTACTGCTGTAGGCTAAGAAAGTAGATGCCTACTGGCTTGCCTCTGCAAAGGGAGGAATTAATAGATCAATTTCTTGAGGAAATAGCACCATGACATAATTGCCTGTCACTTAGCCAGGCATCAGACAGAATTTTCTCATCCGTCTTTTTGCTTGTTATATCTCAGCCCGTATCAAATATGGCTTGGAACATTCTCCGATGCACCCACTTCTCTCATCCAAGCATGAGGAATAGAAGAGTTTGTGTGTTGCAAATTTGATAATGGTCAGTACATCGTCTGCTTCCTTAGAATAAGGGTTGAAAACTCTGTGGATAGTGTCGTGATGAGATAAATGACAAAAAATTACTCATGCTTTGAGCTCACCTCGTTGAAAGCACTGTATAAATTCCTGTCAGATTTTTCTGATGTATCTCATTCCTTGGATAATGAAAAAAGAGGCAAAAGGGTAAATCTTGTAGGAAGTCAGAGGCTGAGGGCCGAACAAGACCAACAAGTCTTAAGTTCTGCCTGTTTTGCTCCAGCTACAATTTCATGCTGATTCAATATTTTGGGGGAAGGGAGGGAAAGACAGATGATTGAAAATTAAAACAACACTATCATTAAGTAAACTTTTCCAGGACACTGGCCCACTGTGTTCCATTAGAATTAAACTATCCTACTGCCTTGAGCCATCCCCGTCATCCCATTCTAAGTGGCTACAGGGAGATGGCACAGGGCTAGACTTGCGGAGCAACCTCCACCTGTTCCAGCAAACTCCAGCAGTGAATCTCTAAGACCTCTTCCTACCCCCACCCCAGTTAGGGTTGCCAGGTAAAGTAGAGGATGCTGAATTAGATTTTTTAGGGTAAGTATTTCTCAAATATTAGATAGTACGTATGGATACCAAAAAAATTTTTTTTGTTTATATGAAATTCACATTTAACAGGGTGCCCTGTTTTTCTGTTTGCTAAATCTGGTAACTCTATCCCCAATTCTTTCAATACTCCTCCAAGGTCTTCTATAATACAAGAAGAAAAATAAAATCCGGCCAAAGAAACCACTAGAGAGGGTGAGGGAGAATCAACAATAGCAAGGGCAAATGATTTTAGAGAACACTGTAGTAACCAACAAAAAAATGCACTTGTTATTGAAATTAAAGGGTTTACCATCATTATTTGAAATAAACCAAAAAAAAAAAAAAAAGGCACTGGAGGTCTACAGGACATAACCCCTTTTCGTAGTACTCTAAATACTGAAGTGACCAATTAGCAAGGGGAAGGTGGGTTAACAAGTTTTTCAACAGCATGTTTAAAACTCACCAGTGCTTAAAATGTTCTCACAAGCAGTTTGACTCAGCCGTCTGCAGTAAAGGCGATGTTTAAACTTCGTGGTGGCATTCAGCGTCAGCTCCTACGGTTTTCCAGTTAATTACTTGCTTTAGTGACACATACGAAGCCTCCCTAGATTCTTTTCTGTTATGCACACACCACCTCTGGACACCAGCTTTGGAAATGACCCATCTGGGTTATATAAGGAGGGCGGCTGACAGAAGGGGAATGGGGCTGACCGAAGATTTCAGGGAAGGCTTGAGTCAAGGTCAGGAGGAGGAAACTGGACGGTTTCCCAGTACCTCAGAGCCACAGTGCGGCTGTTATCCCCCAGTGATCAGACACGCCCGTGCTCAGAACACAGGGCCACGCCAAAAAGAAATAAACTAGAGACTGTCCGTATCTCTGCTCCACACATACAATGAAGAACAACAAGCCTTCTCCTTCCTAGATCACAGAAAATGCAAGAGGCATGGAATTATTTGCAAGACAAAACCATGGGATATAGATGTTTTATTATAAAAATACAGCCATGTATTCAGCAAGAAATGATTTACTGGTTTATTTATTAACCAAAAAAAAAAAATTGTTGAGCCATGGCTATCAATAAACAACTCTCTCATAAACAGAATTTTCAGCCTGGCGTTCAGATACATAATAAAGAATATACTCTACAGCAGCCTCTCCATTTTATTTTAAAACATCAGTGCCCTTTGATTAAGAAATAATAATAATGATGTTGAGCGTTCTTTGGGTGTTTGCCATTGTGCTAAGAGCTTTGCATGAATTTATCTCATTCAATCCTTACCACACCCCTATGAGGTTTTTTTTTTCAAAAAAAAATCCTTATTTCTATTTACTTTAGCAGGAAGACTAAGTCAGCAAGAAGTTAAGTAGCTTGTCTAAGGCTACAGGCATGGTAAACAGCAGGGGACTAATTTAGATCCACTGCAGACTAATCGAAAAACCATGCTTTTCACCCTGAATGGATTCCCTATCACAGATTCAGTGACACACTGAATGGTGGCATAAACTACTCCAAGAAGCTCACTTAAATTTCTCTGGCCCTCCATTACACAACGAAGCTAGATAATCTTCAAAGACCTTCTGATGTCCAAATATCCAGGCTCTATTCAATTTGAACCCAAAATTCCTCAGGGTCAGTTACACATAGTTGCATTTAATCTCCTTGACACCTCTGAGGCTTAGAGAAGTTAAGTGGTTTCCTAAAGGCTACACTGCTAAAATGGAAAGAAATGATACTCAAATTCTGATCTTTCAAATCCACATCCTGGGCAGTCACCTTTAAACCACAGCTGGATCCATGAGCTCTAATTTATATGATAACATTGAAAATTAGTAGACACAAAACCATCCAGGTTACAAACTCAACAATACGCTAGCTATCAATTCTTAGGTTTGCCAAATGAGCTCTTTTCTCCCAACACAAAAGAAAGTAGCTGAAAACTTGGACTTGGTAGTTGGATAGCAAGAGTTAGGCAGCATGGTATATATAATATATACCGCATTATCTTTATCCATTCATCAATTTATGGGCACTTATATTAATTCTTTATCTTTGCAACTATAAATCATGCTGTGATAAACATTAGGGTGCAGCACTGGTGCCATGATACAAGCCTAACTTATGTCCCTAACACCCAAGGCACTGGTGACCTTGTGGGAGGCCTGCTACTCCATGCCCCCCCCAAAAGCAACCTGGTCCTACATGATCACTACAGGGTAAAAAGAGCCTCAACAGGGCTGGGTTTGGGAGGTGACTGGGTAGCAAGCCACCTACAAATTGCTATGGAAATACAATTAGTCTTATTAACTCAAGACTTAATTCTTTTAAGGTTTTGTGATACTTTAGATGGAGCTGAGCCCCATCTGGATTCAAAAAGATTTGATGAGAAAATTTAGATTACAAGAGGACATTGAACTAACCCCAGGGGACAAGTCATTTAACCTTTTTAAAAGCATCTATTTACCTATGAGCAATGAGATAATTACTAATCACTCTCCTCTCTTCATTAGGACAATTTTTTAAAATTTCTAATCTTACTTTTCCTTTATTTAAAGATTATTTTCTCACAATTTGCATCAAACACAAGCTTTTACATACAGTCTCTATCCTCCAAGCAAGTGACCCTTCACGTCATTCCACACAGTCTGTACGTCTCTTTCTGCATATAGGGAGGAAGAAAACACAGAGGAGAAGAAGGAGAATGAGGAGACTCTACCAGACCAGAGGCTGATGCATATTCTCCACATCGAGCATCATGCTGAGGGCTCTGAGGAATAAAAACAGGAACAAGAGCAGCCCCTCCCCTCAAGCGTCCATGAGGGAGGCCATATTGTGCTATTGTAAGTGACGGTGAAGCCCCTTGGGAATGAACCTATGCTTCTAAGGGATAGGGTATGTTGACATGTGATTTCCATATTGTTGAGTCTTCCTCTGTGAATACCCCCTAACCTCACCAAGCATAAATCTGAGTCTATGGAATATTCAACCTGTTCTGCAAGCCCTACTTCCCAAGGAGCAGCTGCCTATAAATGCAAAACCAAATGGGCAACCAGAGCTAGCATGACATTCACAATCAAACTGCTTTAAAATGCTGACAAAATCACATGCTGGCAATAGGTGATCAGTCACAAGCAGAAAAGCTGACTATTGCTATAGAATATGAAGAACAAAATTCTAAGATGCCAGTGGTCAGTGTTTGTTAAACTGCATGACCAAATAATATCATAAAATCAATTCAGTGACCAGCATTCTATGTAAATTAAATGGAAATACATATCCTTAGCAATAACTGTACACATTTGCAACTTGCGACAAATGCTTTGGGTTCAGTGTGTGTGTGTGTATAAAACTGGTCAGGATGTAAAATGTATTTCTTACCGAGGGTCATGATTTTAAAAGCTTGGAAAACATTCTTAAGATCAGTAGTAAACTCAGTTTGGGATAATCACAACCAAAGGGAGCAGCCATAAGCACCGTGAACCAAGGAAAGGCAAACAAAAATGAATAAAAATAAATACTTCCTCAGAAGGATTAACCATACAGTGCACGATCTTGACCCTAACTCTGTTATTCTTGGATTGAAGTAATCCAACTATCTGAGAAAACTAGTGCCAAACACCTGAAAGATTTCAAAAGCAGGTGTCTGGAAGCCACACACCAAAAAAACAAATAACATCAAGCTCTGAAAGACAGGAAGCCACCATCCAAAACCAGAAAGACATTACTAGAATAAAAATGTTTATGTTGCTATGTTAAAAAGTCTAGCAAATAGACAATGCACACCGCAAACTAGAAGGTGGTCCCTGGAACACACCACAGAGACAGTGTCCCATGGGCAACTCGTAGGTATGGGAAAATAAACTAACACATTTACCCAAATTATTTTTGTTTTTTGAGACAGAGTCTCGCTTTGTTGCCCAGGCTAGAGTGAGTGCCGTGGCGTCAGCCTAGCTCACAGCAACCTCAAACTCCTGGGCTCAAGCGATCCTCCTACCTCAGCCTCCGGAGTAGCTGGGACTACAGGCATGCGGCACCATGCCTGGCTAATTTTTTCTATATATATTAGTTGGCCAATTAATTTCTTTCTATTTATAGTAGAGACGGGGGTCTCACTCTTGCTCAGGCTGGCTTCGAACTCCTGACCTCGAGCAATCCACCCACCTCAGCCTCCCACAGTGCTAGGATTATAGGCGAGAGCCACTATGCCCAGCCCCAAATTATCTTTTTAATCTACTAAATGTTTACTTTGGGATATTCGAAACAAATATTTTTGGTTTTGAAATCACTAAAGGGTTAACAAAAGAGATGGCTAATACATTTACCCTACATCTTTTCCAATCCCACTCCAATCCATTTGTTATCTCCATAACAAATAATATGAACTGTCTTCATGGTCACTGGCTCATTCATTTAACAAAAATTAATGAGAATTTACTAGGCTGTACCCACAGGTGTAAGCCACAGTCCAAATGTAAGGTAAATTGACTGTATCCAATTTGTGTTTAACCTATATAGTAGATGGGCTATACACATGGAAGATACAAATATTTCTAAAGTAAAACTATTTATAACTATCACAGATGGCCAAAATTTCTTGACATTGCAATAGCTCTTCAACAATAAATATCAGACAACTATTTAAGAAAAAAACAGAAAATAACAAGTATTCGCAAAGATATGGAGAAATCAAACTCTTGTACGCTGTTAGTAAGAAAGTAAAATGGTACAGCCATTGTGGAAAACAGTATGGTGGTTCCTCAAATAAAGAAAACTGGAATTACCATATGATCCAGCAATTAATTCCACTTTTGGGTTCTACAAAAAAAAAACTGGAAGCAGAGTCTCAAAGAGATACCTGCAATCCCATGTTCACAGCAGCATTATTTACAATAGCCAAAAGGTGGAACCAACCCAAGTGTCCATTGACAGAAGAATGGATAAACAAAATATGCTGTATATGTAAAATGAAATATTATTCAGCCTTAAAAAGGAAGGAATTCTGACACATGCTACAACATGGATGAACCTTGAGGACATTTTATTAAGTGAAATAAGCCAGTCACAAAAAGACAAATACTGTATGATTCTACTTAACATAAGGTACCTAGAATAGTGAAATTCACTAAAACAGAAAGTAGAATGGTGGTTGCCAGGGGCTGGTGGGAGGAGGGAATAGAGAGTTGTTTAATGGTACAGAGTTTCAGTTTTGTAAGATAAAAACAGTTCTGGAGATGGGTTGCACAACAATGTAAATATATAACTGTACACTTAAATCAGTCAAGAGGGTAAATGTTACATTTATTTTACCACAATTATAAAATATATACATATCAGTGTTTACCTCTGAGGTTTTACACATCACAGAGTGTTGCCCCTGGTTCTGGAAGCAGAAAATATTTCAAGGACTCCCCGTTAATTTGAACTTCAGGGTTTGTAGCCACCTAAGCACTTCCGTTACAGAAAGCCCATCCCGGAAGTTCTGACTCTTTTTAATTCATTGTCTAACCAAATAGCCTTGCAAAACCATTTCCTCAAAACACAGAACAGAGCTGTTTTGTGTCTTTTTTTTTTTAAGTGGTGAAACTACAAAAGAAAAAGTTATAGGGAATGCATAAAAACAGACAACTTTTTCCCTTGAATTTTTTGAAATTAGATTTTTTATTTTAGCCTTTAGAATTTCATCCTGAAATTGGGGTGTTTTTTTTTAAACCTGTAGAATATCATCTGTTCAAATGTAAAAGCTTCTATAAATCTACAACCATCTCTTGACCCAGACAGGCAAGTTCCTGTAATGCCTATTTTTATACTGATTGTACAATGAACCAGGCACCCCGGCTCTAAGGGGGCCAGACGAAACCGCCCCAAGGGCTGCTCAGAAGAGGCCATTTTTGCACATAAACAAAAGTGGGGTTCTGGAACTTCTGGAGGGAAGGGTACACTATATACTACATACTGATTTACTTTGAAAAATGCCTCAGAAACTGTGGAGTTTAAACCCTATTGTCATTTTGTTAGATTTATGGTTCTGGACCAACACACCAACATATATCCACCTTTGTAGTGATATACCAACTATAAAACAGTATCAAGAACCTTTATGATCTAGCTATGCTTAGAAATTTTGGAGGAACAGGGTAGGATGGAAGGAGAGGAGTTTCTGCATACAGTGATCCTTGTTATTTGTGATGACAATTCTGTTCTATAAAGTCCCCTCGAAAACTGCCATTAGCAAATACGAATCCTTTGCTCCCAGGGGAAATACAGGGTTGGGTTTCTGCAAGGCTCTGGTCACAACATTTTCATCAACAGGTCAACTCATAACCTTGTTTTATGCATGTTTCTGTCTAAAAAACACCCTTATCTAATATCACTTGTTGGATCATCAACATTAAACTCATGGCGCTATCACTCACGCTGGATGAGAGCTTAGCTAACACATGTATTTTTCTCCAGAAGGCACATCACAGCCTTCTTGCACCTAAAAACACTAGACAGCACTTCAGCCTATGCTTGGGGGCCATTTTAAACAGTGAAGTCACCAAGAAGAAGCACAAAAAATGTAAAAGACGTGTCACTTAACACAATGCAACAAGGGCACTTGTTTATAGCATAAGAAGTGAAACAAAAAGGCAGAGAGTCGCCTTGTTCATCCTCAGCTGAGTACATGTGCTGTGACCTACTCAAATTTTTCCCTGCTCTGTATATGTTCATCAGTGACCAAAGAAGCACCTCGTGTACTGATTTGGGGGTTACAAATAATTTTAGCAAGTAGGCAAATTTGCAAATACAGAATCTGCAAATATTGAGGATCGACTGTATTAACCAACTTGGGAACTTTCTTAGATCTAATTTTAGAGTAATAAGATGAAGTGTATTCAAACCTATCAATGGGGATCCTTTTAAAAGGTCATTTAAAAATTCAAGGATCCTGAGCTGCATACACTGAGCACTAGTCCCTATTTGCTCCCTTGCGTCCCCCAAATTCAACAGGCAAAGTGCTGGGCGAATGGCCGATGGCCACGGACCTAGCAGTGTTGACCACTAGCACCTACCACTGCAACGTCTGTGTGACTGGACCCAATCACAGGCTGCTCATCTACCCATGATGGGATTTCCCACAGTCTCCAGAAGGCACTTCCTCAAAATCATTCCCTTTGTCTATTCATGCCTTTAACAGCTAATATGAATGTAACTTCAAGTTAGAATTCACTGACATTCTTGCACATTCTAACAAAGATATCTCTGTTCCAAGATCTCTATTTCATCTCCATATATAAGCTAAAATGTATTAAAATATGCCCCAATTTTTCAATCTGCTATTCATGGAAACACCAAGTGTCTTACATCATAAAAATGGAAACATCTGACAGACAGGCTGCAACTACTACAAGATCACTGTAAATAACAAATGTTGTTGTTTTTTTTTTTATCTCCCTAGAGAAGTAAAGACACTTTGATTTGTAGTCCCTATCAGACTGTACCAAATCATGCTGCCTCCTTGAAACATAATGTTTAGAGCCATAGTACCAGGTACCCTGGGAGTTCATTAGGATCACAGTATTTCTTCAGAGCTACAGAAGTTCAAAATTCTCTAGCCCAACACGCTTGGGTGTTGGAAGAGATAAGCGCTCAGGATGTGTTCCCAGGGAAGGAACCATTTTTGATCATGTCCACTCCCTCCCCCACGATAACCATCCAAACCTCAGCTCCTCCTTCTTTCCTCTGATACTAAAATAGGAAGCACTAGTCTCAAAAACTTCTGCTTTTTTAAAAGTCTCCAAACTGGTTACATTTTTTCTAAAAGGCTTTTTGACATTACAACTAAAAACCCTTTTAAGTCTTCATTAAAGTTGTGACTAATATGCTTCATTTTAAAGATATAATTGCTATTTTTTAATTATTTCTCCCACCTTGAGCATCCCTTTCTTATATAAAATAATCAAAGAAGAAAAAAAAAGTCTGGCCTTGCTTTGGATTTCATGTGGCCGATTTTACTCTGCCAAGTGCCAGCAAAATTCTGCATCTGCAGCCACTCGTATGTGCCTGAAGCCTTTCCTGTTCTTTTTGTTTCCTTGACTCTATTCCTGTCAGGTGCAAACACTCCAGAAATGTGGAATTATGACACAGGAACTCACACTGAGTCATAGCTGGAACTCATCTCTCTCCTGAGTTCACAATTAAAAACAAATGAAATCTAAAATTACGTTTAAAACATCAAGGTGGGTGGAAGTTGAAAGTGCAGATGTGGCTTCGGCCCCAGCTGGACACGCTCAGAGGAACACATGTCAGTAATACACCGAGGAGAGCTACAAAGGTTAGCTTATATCCATCGTGAGACCTAAGTGAAAATGCTGACATAAAACTGTACCGCAGCTGCTTTTATACCCAATCTGAATGTGCGATGTGTAAAGAAACAACCTGGAAAAGAATCCAGAAATGCCGTGGAGATGCAAGAGGAGATCTGCCACGTTAGTGGGAAGGAGGCTGGCATATCGCATGGTTAGGGCAGTCTCACCAGCAGCACCATCGGGAAAGCTACGGTTTCTTCTAACATCTGGCATAAGGCCTGTGCACCCCTCTAAGTCCCCCCAAGGAGAAAGAAAACGTGTAACCCACCGTTACATTCATTCAAGTCTGCCACAGGGGCATATATTCTTGATGGGGTCTGGGGAGATGAGAGAACAAAACTATAAATGTCCAGGAATGGAATAAAATTAAACCTAAGGTGACCAGAGCAAAAAGCAAATTTTAGGCATGATCATCATGAAGATGGTAACCAAAGACAGACTATAAACTCAGAATAAGGGAGGAGAAATCCCAGAGCCTAAAAGTTAGAGAAAGTTAATAGCAGTAATATAGAAAATGTAAACATGGCTTAGATGAAATCTATCCATGAGACTTTCTTTATAGATATAGACGTATAATTACAT